TTGGACATGAATAATCACCCCTCCGACCAATCCAAATTGCATGTATTTGGAAGCAATAATGTTAAATAAAAAAGAAAAAAGAAAGAGAGTAATTACCTCAAGAACACACGACATAACGAAGTGGCGACGTTAATTACAACTTCCCAAATCGAAGGTCAAATGATACATACGTCAACTTATTCAACTTGTATTTCTTAGTTCTTATCATCCTTTGCCGCACAAATATTGATATGGACATTAACCATTATGATACTATTAAATGTTACCCTTTCACAAACTCTGAGAGTTCTTTACATTTTATTAAACTGGAAAATTTTCAGAAATTTGAACTACACCAACAACAGTTGGGCTATGTACACTTCACAATGTTGTTGGTGGTAATTTAGAAACAATTATTATGAGACTTTTAACTAGTATATATATTATAAATTATTACTCTCTCTTTTAATATAGTTTTTCTTTCGGATTTTCCAGCCCTTTTTGTCATAATTAGTCTTTTTAATCAATTTGAGTTAAGAAGACACATCATCGATCACAATTTAGCGTACGTACGCTTTTTTTCTGGTTGACTTTTTGTTTTTACTAAACAATCCAATTATATCTTCCAAAGGCTAACTATTGACTTATGTGCCTTCAAAAGCAAATTAAACCATTTCGAACCCTCAAAAGAAACGAAAATTTTATTTAATCGCATTTAATTTTGTTCAAGACCGCGGAAATCCGATCCGTACATGCATGTACAGACGTAATGTACCTATCTCAACTTCTCAAGATAAGCATATAACCCCCCATAGATGATTGACTAATAATATTTTCTCCAAAAAATTTGTCGTACATAATGAACTGTAATAAACACGATATATAATTATTTTGAGACAGAAATAATATATTATACGTACAGAAATGAAAATTCTATAAGCTATCCTTGTTAACGGGGATGTATCCAGCAGCCAAAATTGGAAATAAAGAGAGGAAAGCTTGTTTGTAGATGTTTTTGAGACGCATCTAGAAAGATGCTGAGACCTATCTCTCTCATTAAATACTCCACGTGTATTACTTTTTATGTCTAAAAATAATTGTTGTGTTTGAATTTTTACTTAATACAATTTATCCTAAAAAGTAAAAATTTAAACCGTGCCATCATTTCGAGACAAGTGAATACAATTTTTACAATAATTTGTCTATTTACTATATACGTAGTAGGACTATAATTTCTTCTTAGATTGTCTTCAATAAAATTGAGATTTTCAAGAGATTATAACAAACGACAGAGATAAGGATTTTAGTAGATCGAAATTATTGTGACGACGAAGTCAGAAATGAAAAAATGAATGATCAAAGAAACAAGAGGTTCTCGGAACGGTTTATTAATTTACTTTGGTATTATTGTAATTTGATTTATGGGAGGGAGGTCACATTTTCTGTACATTAAGAAGATTTATAATATCGCAGTTCTTTTCTTTCGTATGTTATGCTTGGTGTTCAAAATGTCACTGCTCTTTTCTATGTTACTTTTTTTCCATTAAAAAAAATTAATTCCTCCATCTCATAATTATTGTACAGTTTGAATTTTCATTTCTAGATCAAATCTTTTATATCTTTAACATATCAAAAGAGAATTTTCAATCGAACACATGGCACGATATTAGATAGGCTATTCCACGTAGCGTAAAAATAGATACCCAAATCCACATGTCGCAACCACATCAGTCTATCATTTAATGATAATTTTTAATGTAAAATTATAAATTTATAGATAAAACTAAATTAACTGAGAGATTTCTCAAAACTCTAATAGATAATATATTTTTTACTAATCATATCAATCACCAATTACCTAATTACCACAAAAAAAAAGAAAATAATTTCTGCATCCCTCCCAATTCATCCATTATGTTACGTGGGCTAAAAATAAAATCATGGAAAAAATGATTCTGTGGCCAAACAAATCGAAAGATAATATAGTCTAAAACTAATAATAAATATTTTCCTCTATATAAGTACTTTCCTTTACGTAATATATATATATATATAATTTAAACGTGACTAAAAAGAAATTTCAAACTAATAAACCGAAAGATAGCCAACTAAAAAAAATTAAAAAAAAAACACACCAATTTGATGTAAAATAAAATATTGACGGTTAAGATGAGAAAAATGAATTCACCAATCAATATTGATTTTGATAGTTATGTGTTAATTTTCAAGAAAATAATATTTAAAGAGAGGTCACCAAATTTAGGAGAAAATAGTAAGTAGTATATTATTGAAAAAATATACGAACAAAATTCTAAAGAAAGGTTGTAAAAATTATACAAAGAGATGGAAAATAAAGATAAGTTTAAATAAAGAAATAGTGAAAAATTTCCATGTTAGAGTGAGTGTTTTAAAAGTATATGACACAGGTAAAAACATTCAAAGAGGTCATTATAAAAAATTAAGAGAATACATTTAAAAAATATAAAATCATAAATCAATAAAATGCAAAAGGTGAACAATATGTTATATTGGATGATTTCGAACTTTCCAAAGTATTCCAAATGTACTTCAAATAACAAAACACATGACATTCTAAATTACACAATTACAGTTTATATTATTAATATAATTTTTTTAACATATATTGCTCCGTCGGAAATTTTATATAATCGTTAAATCATTAACCTTATATATATATCTTAAATAACCCACACAGCGTGTGGGGTAAATATTAGCTATATATTAAGACAGAGTTCTTAATCGACACGTGTCGTCTAGGGAGCAAGTTTAGCCAATTGTGCCATGTGTCGTCACCAAAATTCTTCTTCGTTAAACAGTTAAAAGATTATTACCAATACGTATAATTGTTAAATTGAATTAAACAATTAACCAAAAGTTAATTTCAAAAAAGTAAATATCATGTTATTGGTAATTATTGACAAATATATGACATAATGAAACATTAATTATCAAATTAATAATTGTATTAAGAATAAAGTTTAGAACTAAGTCTACATTATATGTAAGTTAATATTATTTTTTAGATGATCTTGTTCGATATATTTTCCAAAAATAAAAGATATTACTCACCAAAAAAAATTGTTACCAAATAACTATATCTCTTTTACCCTATTAAAACAGAATACAGGATGTTAATCTGGCAACTTCTTATTAAAAAATTTTTGCTCCAAATGCACCATATTTCATTAACCATTCTGCCACGTGTCATCCCTTTTTAAAAGAAAAAAAAAACTTCTTATCTGGAAAAACAAAAGTTACTTTACAAAAATAGCTACACAATTTTAACTCCTAACGCTTATCATTTATCAACCAAATTAAGATAGCATTTAAATTCGCCCATAAACTTATCACCTTTATTACTCAACATTCTTTTGTATGATTTTTGCATCTTTGTACTTTTCAATATTTTTTCTCCTTTTGCAGATGATTTTTTTATTTTTATTTTTATTTTTGGCTAAAAAAGGGGAAAAAAACAAATGTGTAGCTATTTTATTTTTTCCAAATCAAGAATTCATTTATCTATTAAAACAAAATTAAAGTAGAGGGGGCGCTCGGGCATCTGCCCGGGCCAAGCATCTAGTTATGAATACAATTCGAAACAAAGTCTGCCTACATTAAACGTATGTTAATATTATTTTTTAGATAATTGGTATATTTTCTATAAATAAAAAAACTACTTACCAAAACAAAGAGATTATTTACCAAATAATTATATGGATACAATTCAAAACTAAGTTTGGATACATTAAACATAGATTAATAATATTTTTCTGATGATTCCATTTGATATATTTTCAAAATATATATATATATATATATATTAGTTACCAAAAACAAAAAAATATATTAGTTACCAAATAATTATACTGCGAATACAATTCGAAAGTAAGTCTGGATAAATTAAACGTAGGTTCATATTATTTTTCAGATTATTCCATTTGATATATTTTTAAAAAATGAAAAGAGATTAGTTACTAAATAATTATACTACAAATACAATTCGAAACCAAGTCTGTATACATGCAAAATAGGTTAATATTATTTTACAGATGATTCCATTTAATATATTTTTCAAAAGATTAAAGAAATTACTTTTTAAAAAAGTAAAAGGAGATTAGTTACCAAATAATTATATTATAAATACAATTTGAAACCGATTCTGGATATATTAAACGTAGATTAATAGTATTTCTCAAATGCTTTTATTTGATATATTTCCAAAAATAAAGAGATTAGTTTATTTCTCCCATATTTTTGTGTTTTATTTATTTTTGTTGGAATTTTCTTTTTCTATTTTGCTTTATGTCTAAAAATGATTATTTATAATATTTGATTCAATTACTATAAATAAACAGTATATGTGTTTCAGTCAATACATCCTTATATCCTTAAACAATTGGCATAGTAGACTGTTGATCATGTTTATTTATATTTAGAACATTTTTTTTTTTTGATATTACTAACATTTCTAAACAAGAAGCATACTAGATAGATGAACATATTAATTTGTATTTTAAAAAAACCCATATAGCTATCAAATACTTGATCAATATGGTAAAAGTATTGGACCAAGTTAATTACGATCCATGATTAAATTTGCGCATGGGCATGTAGTAATGATTGTTGGGAGAGGTTTGTCTTCCGAAAGAGATCTACCCAATTCGAAGGCGGATTAGTTTGAACAATAACTTCGAACGCCCGATGCGCTATATACCAAAAAAGGGGGAAAAAATGACACTCTTGATTTTGAACTCCGAGTGCCTACTATACCAAAAAATGAACAAAAAATTACGACATTTTTCATAGAAAAATAATAGTATATTAATGTTACTCTAAAATATATTAAAATCCGCACAACGTGCGAACATAATACTAGTTGTACTAAAAGTAAAATCTCAAATTAGACGTTTTATTAAACCGACTCGTAATGAACCCAAGTCCGGTACCTTTATCACCAGATGACCACAGCTGACTCTTGAAAACTTTGGTAAAAGGGATAGAGTATGTTGGGTTAAAAATATTGGGGTCACACCGTTACAGCTATCGGTGGGCCAAGAAAAGAAGAAAAAGAAAAGGAAAATAAAATAAAACGCACTGTTTTGTTTGCATGTAAGAAGTAGCTAGGGGCTTTGCTCCTCATCAAACATGTAAAGCTATTTAATCACTGAAACAATTTAAGAGTACATTAATTTGATTTTTTGTTTTCCTTCTAAAAACCAAACTAAGGGTAACTTGTTCAACCTAAACACTAATCTATAAAAAAAAATAAAATTACACGGTATCTCAGGAATCATCATAAATATAAAGTCCAAAAGGAATCATCCTATGTTTTAACAGCAGCATTTCAGCAATAAAACCTAGCTGCTAAAATTTCCATTTTATCTATCTGTCATCATCTCTGGTGCGAAAAATAGGCATGCCCCCAAATGGTTTTTGTACACCTCATAGCGACCCTACGCGCTGCTGCCTCCCCTTCTTTGAACTGGTTTGTAAAGGACAACAGTGACATACTTAGAGCGGAACCGTTGAGTGACCCCGAGTCCAACTACGGCACGAGGAGTCTCCCGATTTTCCAGGTAAAGATGATTCAAGGTGACATTCTGTGGCAATGGGAGGGACACGGAAGGATCTCTAATCGGAGGACAGTTTAGCATGGTATGTTGCAGATGTGGAGGCACCATGGGGGGTTCCCGGCCTTCATCTTCATTACCAGGGTACACGCTGTTGTAACTGGAATCTGGTGACCTTGGAACCTCAAATCCTACAACAGTTGGCTCCTGATTGAGCATATGTAAGTTTAGGACACAAATAAATAACCTGAGCTAAATTATAATAAAGCTCTAAAAAGGCCAAAAATGAAATCATCAATAGTTCAGCTTACTTCTCCATCACGTGATCGTTGGTTCATTTTCAGAAACAGAAATGGAAATGCAATAAAGGAGCTAGCTTCCACAAAAAGCAGTCTTTCAATGGACGTATCTGAAAAGGATTGATTTCTTCATAAGCAAGGGTTGGGGAAACAGAAAGTTATACATCATTTTACATACATGACAAAGTTAAGAAACCTTATCCAAACACTCAAGGCTACACACAGTCAGCCAATTTCATTAATGTAAACTCTAAAGCAGTCTGCAAGCAAAAGGTGCACTCTAGATTAAGCAAAGGGTAACATGAAGGTAAAAAGTGCAGGAGAGAAGTAGAAGAGCCTTTACAAGTAAAGGCTATCATCATTTAGAAAGGAAGTCATCCACAGAAATATTTCATAAACACGACTTTTGCAGCTTTCATCACAAAAACAAATAGTTCTGACTGAGTACTACGACACTGCACATAATATAAAAACGAAAATTGAGATTCCCAATTGCATTACTGGTTTGACTTCGGTTATGAAAAAAAAAACAAACATAAAAGCAGGTGAAATCCCTATTTCCACTCAGTTCAACTGCCCATTTAATGTAAGTTTCTTAAGAATATCAAATGGGAGGGCAGAAATCGATGGACCTCACCTTAAGAAATTAATGTAGACTTATTTTCTAAGTAGGACCCATGTCTCGCAGCAGGGACAGCTGTTGCAATGTGACCTGAGGCCAGACTCAAGTTTCCACAGCAGCCACTTACAGAAATATAAGATATAAGATAATGCTGCAGGGATCAGAGATTAATGGCCCAACCCTTTCCCAGACCCTGCACATGCATAAACTTCTATGCTCCGGGCGACCCTTTTCTAGAATTGTTTTTTGAATAAAGGCATTAGAAAGAATGTGGAGGCAGTATATCTGTATATATAAACCTGAAACTCATGACAGTAGCGTATACGTTCCACGACTGTATAAGATTAGATGCCAGGAAGAGGTGGATTTAGAACTTATCGCCATGGTTTAAAATATCTATTCCCAAGAACTAGATCGCAAACTTATAATATATGAATCTTTTAACTTTTATAACATGGAATTTCTGACCTTCTAAATTGACATCTACCACACATCTATAATTTGCAAGATCCCTACATGAAAAATATGATAGTAGGGCTACATAGGTTCAGCTTTCAACAAATCAGTTAAACCATTTGGTGGGAGGGGCAGTAAAAGAACAAGAACTAAAGTGGTGCATCCACATCAAACAAATCAGAAAAAGAACATACTTTTGTTGAGATGAAGTTTTTGTGTTCTGAATGCAGGGCAACATTGTTTGTTTACAATTAGATAACTAAACCACGTGACCATGAGGCAGGTAAGGAGATTTGATGAACAGGAAGTCAGGAACAATTCCTACTTCAATGTAACATGTCTTATGCATAGTAAAAGAACTGCACAATTTAGCAGCAATGGACTAGGTTCCTAAACAAAGGAAAAATAAATAAATAAATAATCATGACTTGAAGATTAGATGCACCAAGAAGAGATGATTACATCACCATTTCTTATCCTTCCCTTTATTTTTATTTTCTTTTTGAAGAAACAAAGTAAAGGGGTGCTGAATTTTTGCAGTTTGGGCTACTCAAACACATCATCACTGTGCACGTTGAACATGCACCAAACCTAAGATGACAAGATTCATTCACAATGAGGGCATTGGTTTTCAAATGAACACTTTGTCAATATCAAAGAAGCTCCACACTTGTGGGATCCAGTTCACACTTTCACTTTTGTCTACCCCCGCCCCCCATAATTTGAGTTCTTGATTTTATGGTTTATATCAGCCAAAACAAAAAAAAAGGAGAAAAATAGTGATCAGGAAATGCGTCTATTCCATCACATATTTCACGCGTACCATTTTGGAAGGACGCAGAGAATAAAGCATTTACGATGTTAAGAACTAAAACTGATCGCTATATTTAAAGCATATGTAAGTCAAAAATTTTATCCATCCGGTAATTTTTGCTAGTGACATCTGGCTATAGTCTGAAGTCTGGACTGCGGATAAATCCCTCTAAATTTACTTTCTACCTTGAGGTGTCATTCACAACATAAACGGTGAAAGAGTTTGCTAGGCAACAAGCTACAAGTGGAACCTCGGAGTAACACCGTTCTTTTCTGTACACTCGGCAACAAATAAAACATGCAAGCCATCAATTTTTGACAGCTGTTTCTAATACACCGACAAAATTACCAAGTCCGATTATATCTTCCTATCTTTAAGAGATTCACCCCGAGCCGACAGCATCAATTTCTATACCACATGGCAACACAACATAACCAAATCACGTGGCAACATAACTAATGCAACAAATGGCACTCGAATTATGTAAAGGCATGTGCTTTGGCTCATACACCAATAAAGGTAACAGACATCCATGGTGAACAGTGTAATAAAACGTAACCACTGTAACTAATTTAAATGAGTACATATGCACAACACCTTCATAGCAATTTAGTGACTAAATTAAACCACAGAGACCTAAACAAACATCATAATAAATGCCATTAGAGAAATGAACTGGTAAGTAAGCGCTTGCACATAACAGCAGAAAAAATTGCCCCTAACTGCAAGAACAAGAGAAGTGAATGAAAACAGACAGGATGCTAAACAGACAATCATCAACACGAAAATGATTCTACTTCAAAGTTTCCTCATTTTCTGTTCAAATGCTAAAAAAGCTAGAGCAGCAATCTTCTCCTTCCATATCTTAATTCCATCTCAAAAATTAAACCCCAAAAGTAAACATAGCAAATTCAGAACATTCAACATCTCCTTTGGCCAGAATAAATTCAAATCTGCAAAACATCAAAGAAGGATAAAAAAGTAACCTTTAAGCGCTGGGACGTTTGACGTTTATAATTCCACTTCCGAGATGATCCCCTCTTGACCAATTATGGACATGAACGAATGGAAACAATCAACTTACTCACCAACTATATCTGCAAAATTCACAACAATAAATTTTCACTTTGCGGAACCAGATAAAACCCTTTAACCTCCATCAATGAAAGCCCAGAACTAAAATTGAAGGGGGAAAACTCAGGCCAAATGGTGATGACGAGAAATGATGAAAAAAAAAAAAAAAAAACCCCACGAATTGAAACAGTTTCTCCGGTAAGAGATTTAACGAGAAAACCACAAACAATTCCTGGCTAAGAAATTGTTATATAGCTTAATAAAGACGAAAAAGCAATGGAAATGATTAAATAAAAGACATAAAAAATACCTAGAGAATTCCGCCCAACAGGAAACTGAGAATCAAATACGAATAGATTGTAATTTCAGGAGCAATTTTTATAAAGATGATGAAACGAAATTATTATGGTCAGTTGAGCTGGAAAATTTATTCTCAAGATTCTGTAATAAGTTTCTTTTAACGCTTTTTATATGGTTTACTAAGTGTGGGCCCGCTGTAAATGGAAGGATCTTCGGGATTGGGCAAAGGCCCATTTATAAATATAAGTTTTTTTATTGAAACCTCTGGGTTAGATAGCCTAATTTCGTTGAAGTGAAGAATATGGAGGCCCATTTTGTTTGCTTGTTCTTTCTTTGTCACCTTATTCGAGCCCAATTATCCACTGTTTTATTTTTTCCTTTTTTTTTTTTCAATCCACAATTATTTATCACATCTATCTCAAAAAATTAGTCCGTACATTTTTTAGTAAACCAAAAAAAAAAAAAAATAGTTTATACCGAATTTTTATATTTATACTATTTTCAAATCTCAACTTATATGAACTAATTATGTGGACTATATATCTATAGTACTTAATTAAAGCAGTAAACAAAAATGACATGTGTCAGCACCACAATAAAAATTTTCTCTCCAAAAATCATTTTTAGTGTAAAATCATTTTTGACACCTGGCACTCAAACTAATCAGAAAAAAAGAATAGATAAATACATAAATTTCTTAATTATAGCTACATAAAAATCTCTTAATTATAGGTATATACTAATTCCTTAAAACAACAATATTTAGTTGATAAAATCAAATGTAAGGAAATCTCCTTAAATCAAGTGAAGCACCAGTAATGTCTTTTCAATCCCCAATTTCAAAAGATCTCTTCCATTCCGTTCCCATCTCACACCCGGGCTTTTAAATCAATTACTTAAAATCTGACATCAATTATCAATCCATCTCTTTCCACAACAGAGAAAAAATAAGTTGTCATGAAAGAAATTTGATTTTTTAAGGATAATTTTTTTTTAATCTTCTGTTGTAGATATTGGTTTATGATTTATGTAAACTCGGGCATAAGTTAACTATTGTAAATTAAATGTTGTAAATCTGGGCATAGATTTATGTGTAATAACTCATTTTCTGTCCTTTCAATCGATCTTTTTATTCTTCTATTTTTTTTATTCTTTAAGAATGATTCGTATTTTTTATTTAATCGATTTAAAAATACAGGCGCCATTCCGAGCATTCGTTCGAGGCAAGCATCTAGTTTCTTTTAAGACAGAGGAAGTGTTAGTAAAATGGTTTATAGATACAGTAGAGTAATTCATAAAATAATGAGTTAGCAAGTTTAATTTGCCATTTTTTTAAACAATAAAGGGACTTGACATGTTATGACTAAATTATCAAATTATGAGATACACAACTTCTATTGTATCATATTTTAGTCATAGTTTGACAATTGATGGTAGAGATTCTAACTCTCATAAACCATTCAAATCTTGTATTTGCTGACGATATCAATAGTTAGAGCATTCCTAATGTTGCACCTATTCAGCAAATTGCTGGAGAATTTAATGTATTTCTGTTCCAATGTAACAGCAAAATAACAAAAACAAACAGCAAAGTGCTGCTTTTGATACGGTAGATTACCAAATTTGCTGCTATATTGTAGATGCAGCAAATGGGGTGTTCCACTGGCGTTGTTTTTTTCACCTTTTTTTACTTTTCTTTTTTTTTTTTATTTTTATTTTTTGGTTTTATTGAGTAATTTGCTGCACAAAATAGAGTTGATGGTTGGAAATAAACTACATCAAAATAGCAATTTTGATAATTTGGTGTGTAACAAATAGCTTCAACATTGAAGATGCTCTTTCTAGAGGAATTGAAAGGCAGCCATTTAGGGTTTATGAAGGGAAAAACAAGCTTAGTTTTGGGGAAGGAAGATTCGAGTACTGAATCCTTGAAAGGAAATGATTAATTCATTTATTAACTGTGTCTGAAAATATATATATATATACATACAACATTTACTCCATTGACTGAGATATAGGAAAGGACTAAAAGACCCTGCGTTTAAATCCTATATCTATACAATCATCAAGGGTAAAACCGTAACACAAACACTTATACAAAAACTCAGCTTAAAACAGGAACTAAAAACAATTCCTAATCCGGATCAAGCTTATGAATCAGAGAAACACTTTCTACATTCTCTTCATTCCCTCCGCAAGCTGAAAAGTGGTGAAGTCGCTTCACACTTGACCTGTTTTAGCCAATGTATAATCATCAGGGGGTTTCATGTACACTTTTTCTTCTAAATTACCATGAAGAAAAGCATTGTTAATGTCTAGTTGATGAAAGGCCAACTGTGAGCAGAAGCAAGAGCTAACAGAATTCGAACAGTGACAATTTTTGCTACAGGCGAAAAACTATCATAAAAATCTTCCCCTTCAACCTGATTATAACCTTTGGCCACCAATCTAGCTTTATAACGTTCTACAGTACCATCTGAATGATATTTTACCTTGTAAACCCACTTGGAGCCAATTACTTGCTTTCCTGAAGGTAAATCTGTCAATTCCCAAGTATGATTTTGTTCCAAAGCATTTAGTTCATTAGTCATTGCTGCAATCCATTCTGGACAAAGTCTGGCTTGCTGATAGGTTTGGGGTTCAGGTATGATGTCTATTTGGGACAAAAAAGACATGTGATTATGAGAAAGCACTGGCTGATAGGAGTATGTCTCATGCTTACTATGAGCTAGCAAAGCATTGGAGTGTTGTGGAAATGGAGGTTGCCCCTTTATATGCTGAGAAACATAATCCTTCATCCATATTGGATCACGGATGAGTCTAGTGCTTCTCCTAAGATGAGGAGGATCAGGTGAAAAAGGCTGAATGACAGCAGGTGTGTTCTGTGAAGGATTGGGATCAGGATCAGAACCTAGAGGAGGAGAAATGTGAGATAAATTTTCTGAGCTATGTGATGGAGAAGAAGAATCAACAAAGCTGGGAGAAGGATTATTGGAAGATGATAAAGAAGAAGGCCAATCTTCTTCAATGACAGGAAGAGAGGGTTGTGAAAACCGAATTTCCTTGGTTTCAGGAAGAGAAGGAAATATGGTCTCATGGAAAATGACATCCCGGGATATGATGACTTTGCGGTTGTCAAGATCAAAGAGTTTATAGGCCTTTTGTCCAGATGGATATCTAATAAAGATGCATCTAGTGGCTCTAGGTTCAAATTTTGCTTTATGAGGGATAGTGTTGGTTGCAAAGCATAGGCAGCCAAAAGTTCTTAAGTGAGTATAATCTGGTGGTTTAGAAAACAAAATCTCATAAGGTGTTTTCCCTTGAAGCACAGTAGAAGGTAATCTGTTGATTAGGTAAGTAGTTGTCAAAATAGAATCTCCCCAGAAAATTTTTGACAAACCAAACTGAAACATCAATGCTCTAGCTATTTGAAGGATGTGTTTGTGTTTTCTCTCAACTACACCATTCTGCTGCGGTGTATATACACAAGATTTTTGATGAAAAATGCCCAAGTCTGAAAATAGACCTTGACAGTCTTGACTCAGAAATTCCATCCCATTATCACTTCTGATGGTTTTGATAAGGGTTTGGAACTGATTTTGAACAAATTTAATAAAGGTTTTGAGAGTGGTGTAAACTTGTGATTTTTCTCTCATCAAAAAGGTCCAAGTGGCTATGCTAAAATCATCCACTATAGTTAAGAAATAGTGAGCACCACATAAAGATTTTTTACTGTAAGGACCCCAAATATCAATATGTAGAAGATCAAAAATTTTATCACTATGGATCATACTGGTTGAAAAAGGTAATCAGTGTTGTTTTGCTAATGGACATATATCACAAGTAGAAGGATTTTCATCTGATGAATCAAACAAAGAAAGCATCCTTACAATCTTTTTAGATGGATGACCAAGTCTAGTGTGCCAAATGGCATTATTCAGGCCTTTTACATGATTAGAAGAATGATATGGAATACTGTCCACTGAAGAAATAAAGGGGTGATTAACATGATTCCTAATGAACTCTAAGATTTTCCCTTTGGAAAAAGACTGATGATCAACAATGTAAAGTTGGTTCACCACCTTTCTAACAGCCATTAATTGCCTAGTCACTTGGTCCTGTAACAGGCAAAAAGTGGCAGAAAAATAGCAATCAATCTTTGAGGATGATGCTAATTTGCTCACAGAAATGAGGTTGTGTTTAAAAGAAGTTATGTGCAAACAATCATATAATGTGAAGTGATTTCCTAGGTTGGCTGAACCAATGTGTTTAACCTGTTTAATACTACCATCAGGTAAAAACACAGGTGTCAAAGAGTTTACTGGTTTGTAAAGGGATAAAAGTTGTAGATCTGAGGTCATATGACTAGTTGCACCAGAGTCCATTATTCAACAGGAAAGCAATAAGCAATCTAATGAATTCAATGCTCTGAAAGTGGTCATACCTGCAAAATCTGAGTAATGTGCAAAGTTGATATGATCACCAGTCTGAGATGCTCCTTTTCCTTTCATCATTCTGCTCAACTCTTGTTCCATCCTCTTTATGTTATTCATCATGCCTATCAATTCCTCAGATCCTCCAACTCCTGCACCTGCATTCTCATCAATTGGTGATTCAACCATATGTGCAGAAATCCTTCCTGACTGTGTATTCCTTTGCTCCTTCAATACCTTGAACCAATTAGGATAACCAATAAGTTTGAAGCATCCTGATTTCAGATGACCATTGATGCCACAGTGTTCACGCTTCAGTAGCTTTCTTGCAGCCTTATCCAATCTAAGCTCATTCTCCTTTCCAATGATGCTATAGCTGTTTCTCAGTTGTCCATTTGTATGTCCTGAGTTGCCATTACTTGGTTTATGGCTTTTACTGGTATTACTGCTATGAAAATTCGGTTTATGCACCATCAATGCTCATTGTTCCACATGATTCTCCAAGGACATATGCAACTGTTGTTGCTTTTCAACATTCATGATCATTGCATATGCTTTCTTGACAGTAGGAAGCGGTTCTGTGGCCAAGATCTGATTCTTAATAGGAAGATAGTTTTCACTAAGCCCTGTCAAGAACTGCATGAGCTTATCTCTTTCTTCCTTTCCACCATTCGGTCTATTTGCTTTGCAAGTGCATCCATGACAAGTAC